TTGCATTTTACAAAATGTCCCAACTTTTCTGGAATTGGGGTTGTACCTTTGGGTTACTTTCACCATTATCTTCATATTAACCTTTAAAACAGTTATTTAATATAATATAAATAAAAAAATAAAGGTGAAATAAAATAAAAAAATATATTAGATGAAAAAATTTAATGTAAAAAAAAAAAACTTAAATGAAAATATACTATATGTACTATTATATACTATAATAGTACATAACACTGAAATTACATTGTACATTATAATGTGATACTTAAATTCACTTGGAGCATTTAAAACCACTTATTTACATTTTTGTGTTTAATTTTACATTCATTTACAAAAAGTAGAATTTTAATATTAGTCATTTATTGGTTATCAGCCATAACATGAAAACAGTTACTGAATTTTAACATCGGTGCATTTTACGTAAGCTATGTGTCATACGTTCGATGCTGCTACAGCAAAAACCTGCTCCTATGATTTAGTGTTTGTTCTGAAGCTTTTTCAGCATATCTGGCTACTTTTCCCTGAATGTGTACAGTTCTAAGAATGAAGGCAGATGAGAAGACTCTGTATTTTCAAACATAACATTCATGATGTTAAAAAGTCCCTAATGTGTATTCTGTGTAGAATGAGAGCCATGAAACAGTAACAATAATTATCTGCATATATTTTCATATTTTTCTATAGGCTGGCAAAGAAGTCGTGGTTTGGAAATTTCATCAGTCTGGAGAGGGAAGAGCAAATATTTGTGGTGATCAGAGACAAACCACTAAGCTCAATCAAGGCTGATATTGTCCATGCCTTTCTATCAGTTAGTATATTTTTAATGTTAGGTGTTTCCTTTCCTCTTCACTTCAAATAAGCTTTGTTCATTCTCTTTTGAAGATTCAAACTTTGATGTATATCTCTGCTCTCCTCTAGATTCCCTCCCTGAGTCACAGTGTCATCTCTCAGACAAGTTTCCGGGCGGAGTACAAGTCCTCCGGAGGTCCGTCTGTCTTCCAGAAACCTGTCAAATTTCAGGTTGACATCGCCTTCTCTGAAGGAGAGAGAGAACGAGAGAGGGAGAAAGAGAGAGAAAAGGAGGGAAGGAGGGAGACTGGCATCTACAGCGTCACCTTCACCCTATTATCAGGTATTTAAAAAGACGACAGAGCCAGTGTCATGAGTCTGTACATGCTGTCATTTCTACAGATGTGATGATATTGTTTTTCAGGTCCTAGTCGCAGGTTTAAAAGAGTGGTAGAGACCATTCAAGCTCAGCTTCTCAGTACACATGACCAGCCCTCTGTGCAGGCGCTTGCAGGTGAATGTTACACTTCCACCCAAAAACATATAATCATACACAATAAATTAAATGTTATCATATATTTGAATTAATTTCAATTGAGTTTTTGTCGCATTTAATCTTATTATATTTGTTTGTATTATTTACAAGGGTGCACATGTGCGCATGCGCGACCAAAATAAACAATGCACTTTGTAAATAAGTTCAGACCGCTCATTTGCATACTGTGGTTGACAGCTGTTAATGCACAATTACCATTTTAGTTCGACAAACTGTAATACTATATAAGATTTCTATTCAAACTGAAAG